AAATTGAGTCGAGTTTAAAATTTATATAACTCGAATCAAGTCGAGTTGAAAGATTTTATAAAATAAATTTGACTTGATTCAACTCAAAAAAAAAATGAGTTGAATAGAGTTGATCTTTAAACTCGACTCGACTCGACTCATTCAGAACTCTATCTATAAACTCATTAGTGATATCAGGTTAAGAATTAACTTCAAATACAAAGAACTGCAAACCCTACTGGAATAATCATGCAAAGGTCTTATTAAAGAGATTATGGCTATCTATTATGATCGATTATGCAGGTTCACCTACAAATTCCTTAAATACGAATTCTCATTTAACTTTACAAAACATGTAATTCTCTTTGACAATTCAACAACTGATAGACATGAGCTGTTTGAAGATATTCTTGCTATCAATGTCTTCATTTACAGATTGCAAGGAAGAAGAGCAGCTAAACACAGAAGGAAAAAAAAAGAAAAGAAAGAAAATATTAACAGTAAGAAAAAATAAAAAAAGAAATAAGGACGAAAATGTGAATAGAATATTGAAAGTGAAATTGTACCTAAACCTTGAACAAAAATGTATAATAAAGCAATGGATGAGGCTGTCAAGATTGACCTATAATACAATCATTGACTATCTGCAGAAAAGATAATTTTTGATTGTGCATATAGATAAAAATAGAAATAAATGTAAGAAGATGATAAACTTTCCAAATATAAAATTCCTGAGAAGGATTGTGTATTTAAAATTGAGGAGTAAGAAAGCCTATGATGATATGCCAAATAACTTAATTGACAAAACTGTGAATGAAGCTGTTAAAAATTTCAATTCAAAAGATAATAAAACCAGATTGAAGTTTAAGACCATGAAAGACTTAAAGCACACCATCACCATATGCGCATAAAATTACTCAAAAAAATATTGGAATAAATTTTACATATCATACCTATTCAAAAATACTGATTATACAAGAACACCAAGGAAGAAACCATATGATCACCTGGAAGGATCAAGAAATATAGGAGCTTTGCATTTTGAGACCAAAAGAAAAAATAACAGTTGGTCATCATAACAGATCAATCATGATTGCAAGCTCACATACTTTAGAAAAACTAATGAATGGATCTTATCGTGGGTATATGAAAGACTAAAAAAATCAAAAGAAACACATGAGAGGTTTGTGGCTATCGATCCAGGAGTTCGAACTCCATTTGTAATGTATTCACCTACAAAAGGAAACAACAAAGGTTGGTAAGAATGATTCGCAGAGGTTGATGAGACTTTGCTTACATGCAGACAAACTAAGTTCGGTAAGGGACAAGCTTAAGAACTCAAGTTCTAAAAGAAAGAAAAAGAAGGCTGAGAGAATTGATAAAGCAATCTCAAGAATTTTAAGAAGGATCCGGAACCTGAGGAACGAATTACACAAGAAAACTGTGAATTATCTTGCAAAAATTATGATGTTATTATACCCGAATTCAATGTTTCAAACATGGTGAGACGAGAAAAGAGAAAAATCAATTCAAAAACTGTGCGAAGTGGTCACATTACTCATTCCGACAACGGTTGAAACACAAAGCCGATGAGACTGGTATGAAAATGATCATACAAAATGAAGCCTATACCTCAAAAACGTGTTCTGCATGTGGAAACATACAGAATATTGGAGGGAGAAAAGTTTACAAGTGCAAGGGATGCGATGTGATTATGGACAGGGATGCAAATGGAGCGCGGGGGATATTCCTTCGCGCGTTGCTTGATGGAGCCATATGCATGCATATGTAGGAATTGGTAATCATGCATAGCAAAGCTTAGTATAGATTATTAATGATGTATTACAATCCATCCGAAAATTGGACGATCAAAATTTGTTCGTTCGTTTGTTAACGTTCCTTAATTGAAGAATATTTGGTTAAAATAACTGATCTAAACCATTTAATTAATTTTGAACACATGAAAAATATTATACACTAAATAGTTTTATTTAAGAGTACACAATTTTCGTAAAATAACTGTCTACAGCTAGAAAAGTTTATACTCATGAAAGATCACAGGCTATATAGAAATCCGATTCGCTTGACCAGTACGGTTGGAAGCTGAAGTTGTTTCAACGCGAAGAATATATATAAACCTTCGTTGATAGAATTTTTTTACTGGTATTGAAGATTTGTGCTCAATGTAAGACCGTCTCGTCTGTATAGAATACAATTATGCCTGTTGTTCATAACATGTTTAAATCATTTAAAGTTGAAACAAGACGTCCAAACATTATAACAACTTTCAGGATAAGATTGGCAACCGGTTGTTAATTTGAAGTAGAAGTTGCCTTTATTACAAGAAAATCACCGAATTCTTCAATAAAATAATTCGATAATATGAGTGTTAACTCTAAATTTTTTAATGATAAATTTAATTTAATTTTGAAATATAAAATATTTTTTATACAGCGATTTTAATTTAATGTTGTTTATTTTTTTTTAGATAATTTAGTTTTTAAATTTGATTTATTTTAATTGATTTTATTTTTTTTAATTTTACCTAAACAAAAAAACCGCTTTTATAATCGCAGGGTTCAAATATTTAATTTTTTTGGAAAATCGAAAATCGAATCTTAAAGTCGAATCTTTGAGAAATGATAATCGCGATTAAATCGATTCTATAAATATCGAAATCGATTCCAATCCCTACACCAAGGACGTTGAGCGTAGGTTTTTTAATTTCCAAAAAAAAAAAAACAAACTGTCGTTTCTAAAGTACATTTAAAAACAATAGAAATTTAAAATAATGTTAGCAAACATCGTGACAGGTCATATCCTAAGAGAGCACCCCGGTTTTGAGTTTTATATTAGGCGTCAGACGACGTAACACTTCGAGGCAATATAAAAGTTACATACTCACACAAAGGACAAACCCAACAACTGGATTTGAGTTTTACGTTAAGCGTTGATTAACCGCAACTCTTCGAGGCAGTATGAACCGTTATACACACACAAAGGACAAATCCGGTTTTGCTAACAATATATGTAAAAAATACATACCTTTTCACCAAAGGACATTGAGTGTAAGTTTTTAATTTCCAAAGAAAAAACACAAATCGGCGTACCTAAAGCACATTTAAAAACAATAGAAATCTAAAGTAATGTTAGCAAAGATCGTGACGAGTCATATCCTAAAAGCACCCCGATTTGAGTTTTATATTAGGCGTCAGACGATGCAACGCTTCGAGGCAATATAAAAGCTACATACTCGCACAAAGAACAATCCAGGCTTGCTAACAATATACGTAAAGCATACCTCATTACCAAGAGCGTTAAACGTAAGTTAAAATTTCCAAGAAAACTAGACTAAATATATTTCTTTTTTGTTTTACTATTTATTCATATAAGAAACTTTTCATTTGGAGTAAAAGGACTTTCTTTCGAAAAACCCGGTTAAACAATTTTGGTGTCGATTAAAAAAAATAAAAAAGTGGTGAATATATCCAGGTAACTTACGCGTTACGTCATGTAATAAAAGTCCGTTATTTGTCACGCATTGTCACATCACCGATTTTTAATTTTAACTATGAAAAAAGCACTTGAGGATGCAGCACATGCAATAAGACCATAATTGCTATTACTTAATAACGTTTCGACATCAAAACACAAC